ATCTTTTTATGCTCTCTTTTAATAGCATTTACTTTGCGAAAGTATCCACATATTTTGGTGTGCACCTAGTCAAAAATATACTCTTCACTACAATTATTTTTTTTAAGTACCTTACCGTCAAAGAAGTAATACTAGGATTTTTGGGGAAACATCGTTCTGGCAACTACGATGCTTTTTTTCAAAAATACTAAAATCATTTGAAAAAATTGGCGTGGATATGTCCTCCAAAAACACTAGTATGTGCATACTCATCTGGCTTATTTCAGCAAGCGAAAGATGCCATTTATTACATTTGAAATAAGGCAATAGTTAAGTAATTGTATTTTATTCTATGTTAAAATAAATGCAGATACAGAGGAAACCATCATCGCAGTGTGTTCGAAGCTCCCGATTATGAAGAAGAGGGAGCAGAAGTATAGTTATAGGTAGAGCCAAGCCCCGAACTATCATCTTTGAAAATAACTAGTGTTGTAAAAGTAAAAAAGAAAGCAGGGCCATTCCATTGTGACTGCTGGAACATTTTACTCACGAATTTGATCAGTTGTGAATTATAACTAACAGCTAAAAATATTTTTTAACATAGAACGCGATAACTAATGTGGAAAATTGCTTTCACAAAAATACCAAACGATTTCTTAGTTTTTTGTAACAATAGTTTGAATGAATGTGAGCGGTGGGACTCTGAAAAGGACTCTATTTTATCCTTGTGCACTCAGAGATGAATTTTAGCCAAAACACTTAGTCATCATGAACAATGTTTTTGTGTTGTAAAATATGAATTATACGCTTTATTTTTCAATAAAAATTAGCTTTATATAATCTTCATAGAAATAAAAAAAAGTATTTAAAGTTGTGACTGGTGTCAAGTAATTATGCATAAAAAAAGTTTCCATAGACGACAAAAATTACAACTTCTTTTTAATTTTTTAATATTTTCCAACAGTCATTAAAGAAGAGCACCCAGATAAAAAGTTGTTGCATATTTCAAGGTGACCTATTTGCCTTGCGAACTTTTCCGGCAAGTAATTTCTAGAACATTTTAACCCTCTAGGGACCTCTCAAATTCCTTTTTTCAGACTTTTTGCAGCTATGAATTTAAAACCAACGTTCCACGTATTTTAAAAACACTCGGGAAAAAAATTGCAAACTTAGCTTAACCACAAAAAAATTTTGACCTGAGAATGTGAAAATATTGGGAGGTTTTCCTGGCCTAATCGCCAGTTTCATCAATCAATTTTAAAATTTATCAGACTGTTAAAACTTAAAGTGACAAATTTTCCGACTTGGAATCATTCCGCCCCCAGACGATGAGCTCGAAATTATTGCACAGTGTTATCAATGTCTTCCATTTTTCACTTTTTTCCACCAATTGTATACAGTTAATTCTGAAAAGCCTATGGATTATATAATATTTATCTTACGAACCAAATAACCAAGTAAGTCTTCGTTAAAAAGATGCATTTTGTCGAACCACTTAGAAAATATGCAAGCCTCGCAGGCACCGAGATACCAACTAAATATAGTACTTTTTCGAAAGTACGTTAAGTTTTGGGTAAACAGTTTTCATTTCCTCCCAAGTGTCGACGATATTCCGATTTAATTCATGGACGTGACAATGTAAATATAAACTAGTATATTCTTTTGGCAGACCCAAATAATTATCTGTTCATACAGAATTTATATTTCCTGAAAATATGTTTACGATTATTTTGCAATTAAACGATAAATAAATCGAAAATTGGACAAAAATAACACTGCACAAAATTTTTCAAAAAGTTGGAGGTGATGGGAATCGGACCACCAGCATTTAATTAAGCTGGTCAAATGTGAAAAAGTAGCAAGGGATTTGAAAAATTTGGTTACCATTTCTTTATCAATTTGAAGTCGACGAAGTAAGATCCCAATGAGAACGCATAATTTAGAAACACATTTTCCAAAGTTAACGGAGCGGGAAGGGGAGGAGATTTGAAGAGTTTTTGGCAGAGCCCAATGTTGAGCTGAAAATTTTTTTATGCATATAAGTATAATGTAGGTATTACATTTGGAGCGAAACCAAAAAAAAAAAAAAAAAAATTGTACTTGTTTATTTTGAGCCTTAAATTCACAACTTCAAATCGATATAAAAAGTAAATGGGAACCAAATTTAACAAATGCTTTGGTATATATTCATATTTTGACCTCTTTTAATGAATGCAGTTAGTCTCATTCCCATCACTTTTTGAGTGTTGCACTCTGTAATCGATAAATTTAATCAAATGATTAATCACTGCCATCGCTAACCGGAACACGAGTATCTAAATTTGGTTTAGGTATGGTAATACCACCAGCTTCATCTGAGTTGGGCAAGTACTCTCCAAGCTGTTTGATGGTATTATACCTGAGAGTCGTTTAAAGTGGAAAACCGCGTATCAACAAAATGCAAAACCGCGTATGTGAACTTGTAGAACTTATTTTCTAGAGCGTAAAAACGCTCATATTTCAAAACGGTTCTCTTTTTTATAAAGCAATCGCATATCTGGCTAATATATTTCAGGACGAATGGATTAGGATTGAGCCAAG